TTACAGGTAAGTCAGTGTTGTGACATCAAATTTAGTTTTGGTTCTACCAAATAGTCAAAGGTTCTACCTTGGTTTAAAAGATTTATAGCATTAATAATGCACCCTGGTTATCTTCAGAACTAGTTTATACTCCTGAGTTAATCTGTTGTCAGGTCTTAACTACTCTCATATTCCATCCCACAATTTAAACCTATTTCAGTAAAACCTAATTTGTGTTAAAAAGATAACTAGAATCTGCAAAAGGAATACAAAAATGAAAGTTTCTTTGCTTACCATATGTTTTAACACAATGCACCGAGACAATTATCAATGGTATGTGTACAAAAGATAGGCCTATAAGTTGCGATGGGCAATAACTTGTGCCTACATTTGACTTCCTTTATCAACAATATCTAAATTCTAAATCATTATTTATGTATCAATTTATTAATATTAATTTTATTAATAAAAATTAATTCAAAACAAATGCACTGTTCTATAATTTTACAGCATTTATGTTTTGTCTAACATGGATAAAAACTAGTCCTGACTGAGCTTTGGAGAATCCTGTAGACAACTTGTATGTTATTGTTCAATTTGGTTAACCCTCCGAGTGTTATGTGTCGAAAAATCGACACACTTTGTGTAGTGTTTTGTGTCGATTTTTCGACTCACAAACACTGTTTACGGCGAAGGCTCTATGACTGACAAAATCGGATTGAACTGGATTGAGTTAGGTATCGTTTTATTTGGCAGATTCTAAGCTTTCTCCCGAGGTCTGTCTCTAAGCGCTTTTTTTTCTCGAGCCGATCATAATTGTAGCAGACAGCTGACGTGCGTATTTGTAAACAGCTTGGTTAACCTCGCACCGATTACTGATGTGTTTTATTACGTTTATCATTGTTTTAGTGTTAAAAATCAAAAGAAGTGATACACGTGGTGCATTATAAGAAGATTTAAGTGATTTTGAAGGGCTGGTTGATGATCCTGAAGAAGTAGGTAGTGATTCTGATGTAAATTATCCAGATTCCTAGATATGGTTAGGCTATGCATTCTTAGCTAAACGCTATGTACTGAAATCTGTTTTTTGCCCATAACTTATTTATTTGCAAATCTACTTCCTTATATTATTATATATTTGTAATCCTCATAAAATTTAGAACAAAGTGGCTATTTTCAAATATTTATAGGCCTATAATTTATACAATTTCATTGAGCGCAAACTTATTTTTTTTGAAAATTTTCCAAAAATTTTTTTTACCTAAAATTTTTTTTTGAAACAAATGTTCCTTATGTTTTATGTATAATATTGAAGCCCGTGATTTTCCAAACAAAATGGTATATAGAACAGTATAATAAACATTGTTTTTAAGCTTCTCAGATCCGTTTTAATAAAACCTTGCAAATGCGCAAAAAATAGGCAAACATTAAGGCCAAAACTAGGGACACTCGGAGGGTTAACAAACTGGTCTTGTAGTAGAACACAGGACTACGGTCCCCGAAATCCCGGATTCAAATCCCGCCATTCACCAATAGATTTGATCTCAACTATAATGTTGTTAACCCCATCTATGAAGTAATGTGGAAAAGAGTTCGAGGCTAGGACCTAGAAAAATATATGTTGAACTTTAAAAACACAAATCAAATACTCCCTGTTTACAGCAAGGAACTCCCTATATGGGGGCGAGCGCAGGGACCAATGTGGCAACAGTCAATATCTGTACGACCAATGACATGCCTATTGTCTATCCTCAGTCTTTCAACGCACTCAACCTGGTCCCGTTTAACATCAACCCTCACTACATTGAGCCTGAAGCCAATTCCACACATATGGGGGTAAGTACAAATATTGTATTTCAATAATTTATCTAATTAGAGTCCTAAACAAAAAGCCTATCGCACAGTGTGCTCAAATGCAATTTGTGCTTTACAGTTGGAAAAATATCTTGAAATAAGTGGTTTCAAAAGATAAGTTAAACGTTTGTTAATAATAAAGATCCAATAAAACTTTAATACCAGATCTCTTATAGAGGTTATCAAATAAGATTCGTTATTAAATGCCTTTAAGAGTATAGGATAAGAAAATCGTCAATTTCGTCAAGTATATTTGTGGTCCTGTGTCATTTTGTTTTCAGTCCATAAGATTCCCTCCTATCCAGCTATCTTTCAACCAGAAAATGCTCTAACCGGTTGCACAGAGAAGTAAGATACAGAGGAAACATGCTTATGGAACAACCGTGCGCTTTTAGCTCGGGAATGGTGGGGCGGAAATATCCTAGTACCAAGCCAGGAAGAGCCTGAACAACTATTGTTTACAACAGCAGTTGTACCGCACAGGCTCATCCTACAGCATCAGCACGTGGTGCTAGACACGACTTTAGTGTACCATTCAATGTGTCATCTGTATCTTACTTATCTGTGCCGGTTGTTGATATAAAAAAATACTTCCCTAACTAGCCTCTTTTGAAAATTGTTTAACCCTTTGTGATCAGACAGAAATGAACAAAATGTTGATTCAAACTGAACACTATGACTTTCTTGTACTATTTCCTATAGGCCTAGATAAGTAGTTGCTTTTTTCCGGGTAAATAGAATTACATGACCATCGGTTTTCGTGGCCAAATTGTTGTACGTCCAGGCCTAAGGGTTCTTGATGTTCTTAGGAATTTAATTAAACATTTCTTGTATTTGTTTAATATATTATATAATATATTTTTACTTAGCTCCTATTCATATTTTAGAAAGTATTTCTTTTGTCAATATGGGCAAATTTGAGTTGAAAAATATGAAAGTTGCACACGCGTCTCTTCAAAAATAATAAAATCAAGAGATTTTTGCACACAGGAAACGAGAGAGGAGAGAATAAAGCAGTATTTTGAAGAAGAAGAACATTATCCAGTCTTGGGCCTGAAGGAAGGTTCCATCTTGGAAGTGGACGGAGACAAAGCCTTCATCAGAGGACTGTCTCAGCCAGCCAAGTTGTTCACCAAGTATGTTATATTATATATTGCAACACTAAACAATACAATGACTTACTTATTAAAAATGTAATATTTAAAAATTTGAAAAAAATAGCTATTGGATAATGAATTAGACATCCCTTCTACATTATGGACTAGCTCATGTCACCAATTTTTTTTATCAAAAAAGAATATAGTTGAATTAGATTGTCCCAGTGTGTGTCAATGTGTAAAATTCTATTTTCCACCTTATTTTTTGTTACTGAGGTAGTTAACGTCACTTAAAATCTTATCTTACTGATATTATAAATGTGAAAGTTTGTGTGTTTGTTTGTTTGTTTGTTTGTTTGAAGTTCAATCACGCATTAATTACTGGACGGATTGGGATGAAATTTGGCATGATGATAGCTCACATTCCCGATTAACATATAGGCATATTTTTACCTCAAAAATCCTTTCGAGCTCCGCCCCAGTGGCTCTAGAGTTTCCCATGTTAACCTTATGAGTACTCATAGAATGGAATTAAATAATTTAGTCCGCTGTTTCAATTAAAAAGGTTGGTTCTATGATATGAAATGGTTCTATGATAAAAATAATAGGATGCAGCACTATTATTTTTTTCAAACAGCTAATTTGAACTCAGCAGCAACAAAAAACTGTCTGTTTACAGTTATGTTTATGTTTTTAACTTCACGAATAATTTGTGATATTTTGTGAATCTTTAATAATTTATTTTCTGTTTGGGTGAAGTGGTAGAACATTATAGCTATGGTAGATGCGTATTACTATAGTATACCGTAAATTTAAAGAAGCAAATTTTATCATACTTTGTCCTCCCTCATTGCAAACGCAAATACACTGTACTAAGCATTTTATACTTATATGCCAATCCCGTACGAAGGACGGGTACTCTGCTAGTATACTATATCTTACAATAATTAAGTTTATGTGTTATTACAGTGGGAGTCGCATCCAAAATATTTTAGTCGTCACAAAATGACAAATGTAGACAAAATATAATACCCAATTTGTATGTGTAAAGTGTCTTTTTTTAAACTCAATACTTACTTGACACTCGTATAAATCAGCACTACTTTGCTAACTAGCTGTTAAAAGAACTATTGATCTGTTGATTGATTTATTTATATTTCTGTGTTATTATTTTCAAGGGATAACAAACCTCAAGAATACCCTGTTGGAGCAGATGTCAGCTTCCTGTTAAAAGGTGTGAAACACTAATTTTGTGAAAAATATAAAATCAAATGTATCGGGACTCAAACTTTAATATTTATGGGTTGTTTATAAGGTAAGTTTAAATTGAGATACTGTTTTCATGGTGCACTTTTAATAAACACATACCAAAAGTGTATTTATAATAAACTTATAAGTAAGCATATAGAAATGTAGTTATAAATAAAATGTTTGAATATACATTTGATGAAGATTTCCTTTAACCTTTTGAACCCAAAAGGTAGCTGATATATTTGTTATGTTATAAGGAGTATCATAATCATAGTTTCTCTAAAGTATCTGCCTGAGTAAGCCTACATAACTGACATTAAACTGAAGAAAGCTATACAACCAAAGTGCTGAAACTTTAAAATGTAATGCAGTAGCCAAAGTAGATGGAAACACAGGAGCTAATTTATGAAGGCGAACCATGTACACATTTTTCAATTAGAATTTGTTTGGCACAAATCATTTGTTGACACAATCGGTGTGATCTTCATGAGTGTCTTTTTAAATGTAATGCAAATAATGTTCTTGCTAAGTCAACATTTTCTCACATTACAATGGCAGTTAAACACACGCACGGTAACTTACTTTCTCAAACTGTGTATGACTTTCCAAAATATTTTGTTAAAATATGTAAGAGTTTTGGGCAAACATACGGAGATTGGTTTACCTTGTGAAATCCAGCTGTCGACAGGAGACTGAGAAGAGAAAAATAGTCAACCTCTAAGAACCAGAGTAGCCCCTTTTCTCATGTTAATAGAGACGAGAAGAGAGCGATGCGAGTAGACATTTAGTTGCAAGATGAAGGAGTAATCAAGACAAACATTGACATATTAAATGTTATATTAGTTGACAAGGAAGTTGACAATATTATTAACTTGAATCTTCATCATCTTTCTTCAAACTGCCAAACACCTCAGAAGGAATAGTTTGTTTTTCCACAGGGACATCATCTGAAAAATGAATGTCAAAAGGGTTGTCAATATTTTTTCCAAACAATTTAAAAACTTATCATTTTATATCAGTTTGTTTTGTTCTTATACTTCTTTGATTTTTTACTTGTCAGTAAATGTATTAAATATAATAGTTGACTCAAATACAGGTGGCACTGGAGAGAAGAAGAAACATTATGATTCAGTTTTATTTAGCCATTGACAGTGATAAGGCAGTGCTGGCCAGTCTGTACAGTTTTAATCAGTTTTATCAATTTTTATTCCATTTTTATTATTTTATCAACATGACTAGTTTTAATTATTGTGAATGTGACAGTCTCTAATCTATATCGACGTACCACAATTTATCATTACATACATTGATGATGTGGCTGCACACAAAATGACCTGATGAGGTTCTGAGGAACAAAATTAGTTGTTATACCAACATCTGTGGTTAGATAAGGTAGGCTAATCATTTTATTTTATCAATTGTTATTTTGATTGTGTCTTAAAAAAAATGTATTATCTTTGACTAGGGATAGAACTCTGTATTACATACCTATGAAGAGTTGTTGCCAGTTTTATAATAAAAACTAACATAGTAGAATTGAGCCATAGATAGTGTGCTTATCTAAATAACTGATTTCTGCCAAACAGAATAGGAACTCATATTGTAAACTACAGAAACTTATATGTCACTATCGAAGCAACCAAAATTAGAAAAAAGTAGAATATTATAGTGTAGCACTCTCTGAGTGGCACATTCAGTTTTCAAATAATTGGCTACAACTAGTCCAGATATGTGGGATATCTACAAGTCAATACGAATACACATTCTTTGTACAGTAGCACACCTCATATCCGACGCCTCAGGATATCCAACCTAGTGTCGGACCGTCTAGTTGTGTCCTGTCTAAGGTGATAACGCTGAGCACGTTCGGATACCCGAAAGGCCAATGGGGATGTTGCCGCGGTCTCGGTAGACAATTACGGCCGGTTTCGCTGAGACTGCAAGACATGTTCCGTTGATGGTTGTTGCCGCGGTCGTAATAGACGATTATACCGATGTCGCTGAGACTATAAGATGTGCTCACAGGTGTTGCCGTGGTCGTGGGAGACGATAACCGAAGTCGTGGAGACTGCAGGCTATGCTCCTCCTGATATCCGAAACTTTTGAGGTTCCAACCTTGGCCCGGTCCTGTTGTGGTCGGATATGAAGGGTTCTACTATCTACTATGATCAATTGAACCAGAGTTACCTTCTTCCTCAGACGAATCGTTGACGTCGTGGTCATCCTCATCAATGTTGATCTCGTCAGGGTTGAGGACTCTAGTGGTGTCCGTCCCATCACGATCCTGGCCCTGCGTCTCTCCCCGTACAAAGAGAATGTTCCCACCCTTCACTTGTGCTGTAACACACGATAATAACACGTGTAAAATATCATGTATATCGCTTAAAATACTAAAATATGCTGTAAATCCTTAAAAGGATAACAGTAAGATCCTCAAAGATGTTTTGATAATGTTATTCCTTCAATCAATCAAATATTCTTTATTAAGAAAGTTATGCCTTATGCTTTTACAGTTTTGTATTGTAATCAATAAGAATTATAACGAGTCATTGCAAATAAGTTTAAACTAAACCTGAGTTTTTACAGAAATTTATTATGTAGTAAATAATGTCTATCAAATTAATTATTATCTTTCTTAGTGATTCATCGCAAACCAAATCACACACGCGAACAAAATCCACTAGCTAAGAAACATGTCATGACTACTATTGAAAAAAAAAACACAACACAGTAGAACTCTAAATTCCGAGCTCCAACTATCTGAATAGATGATTGTTTGAATCGTTTACAGAACAAAATTTAAAAACTCAATTTCACTGAAATAAGATGCAAAAAATATAAAATCGTCTTCGTCTTCTGTGATCACCACAAAATCCTGAACATCTCCTCGGTCCTGTTCCTGTAGACATCATCATTGTCTCCTACATCCAAGAAAATGTGATCATCCTCCTCCTCCAGCAAAAGTGTGAATTTCTTGATTGTGAAATCTATGCAGATTCGCTCTGCTATTGGGATAGTAAAAGCTTTGATTTTTTACTTGGTGATCAAACATTAACACTTAAAGTGCCGTTGACATGTTTGAACATGAAAATTGCATTTATTTCAATGTTAAGCAATGGCGGGAATTCCTGTCATCAGCACCCAACGTGTTAAAGCTTTTAGGCTAGGCTAGGCACAAAAATTTCTAAAATGCAATTTATAGTCTTTATGTTCTGTAAAAATCATCTATATCAACCCAATGGGATACGGTACCAATTGTTTTGGAAGATCGAAATTCTGCTGTTAAAATATTTATATCATATTACGTAGTTTTTATCTGACTTGTGTGAGAATAAACTGACTGCGAGTACATTTACCTGTCCTGTCCTCAGCGGCCATCTCAGCAGCCTTAGCCTCCAGCATACGCATTCCATCTTTGGCACCAGGGGCCAGGTCTGCCACTGTGCCAGATACATTGCTGGCAGCCGACAACATTTGTGCTGACATCATGTTCACCTGCAAACAGATCATTCATTAGTAATGTAGCTTATTAAATAGTCTTGGTGAAAGGGGCCAGGTCTGCCACTGTGCCAGACACATTGCTGGCAGCCGACAACATTTGTGCTGACATCATGTTCACCTGCAAACAGATAATTTATTAGACATGTAGCCTAATGAATAGTCTTGACGCCACGGGGATGGTCTGCCACTATGCCAAAAACATTGCTGGCAGCCGACATTATCTACAGGGACATCATGTTCACCTGCAAAAAGATTATTTAAAAGTAATTTAGATTTTCTGACTGCACATAATGCCTGTCTTTTAATAAGGTCACCAGTGCGATTAAAGTGGATCTTTTCAAGAGGAGGGCTGCCACTATTCAAATTAGCCCTATACAAAAAAGTACCATCACAAAGATCTAACAAAGGACTATAATTTTTTCCTACAGTTACCTAACAATGTACATGTTCTCTCACTGATTTGAGAAAGCAAAGTGGCCAATTCGCTCATCAGTGAGACAATGTTAACATTGTCTCACTCTAATTACTTTGTCTCACTCCAGATTTGCAACGTGAAGGCACGAAATAGTGAGCGCGTAACATGCAGGCAACGTCGTATGCGCGCGAAATACGTTGGCAGCACTGGCTGTAAATCAGCTGGTCAGCTGTTGTACTGTTGTATTTGTCACTTCACATTAAATGTTATGTTAAAAGTTCACTTCAGTGTAAAACTAGGTTATGTTTCTTCACAAATTTATTTGTTTTATGATAACTGTAGGAAAAGTATAATGTGCAACTCGAGTTCAAAGTACAATTGCCTAACTCGAGAAACCATTCGTCACTCGCCTGCGGCTCGTGAGTAAGGATTTCTCTCGAGTGAGTCAATTGCTCACTTTTCTCACTAGTTGCACAAATAACTATTGTTTTATGGTAACTGTAAGAAAAGTATAATGTGCAACTCGAGTTCAAAGTACAATTGCCTCACTCGAGAAACCATTCCTCACTCGCCTGAATTTCTCTCGAGTGAGTCAATTGCTCACTTTTCTCACTAGTTGCACAAATAACTATTTACTCATTTCAACGTGACAAATCCAATGACCTATGCACAACTATGCTAGTATATTATGTTTAGTATATTTAGCCATCCCATTACTAGCATGATAAACTTACCTGAGTATTGTATGTAGCCTGTACACTGCGTTTTATCCTGAGCATCTCTCTCATCGTGTCTTCATTCCCGTGACGAACCTCAAACTCTTTCCACGTCTGCCAGAAATCAGCTGTCACCTGTAGTGACAAAGTATGAGTAGATAGTGTGTGAATTAACTGTCCTCAGCAGCCATCTCAGCATTAAATTATTATCAATCGGGTTGTAGAAATCTTCTGTAGAGCATATTTGTGTTTTCAATATTTTGGACTTTGGGTGGGTTTGTGTATACCTGTTGTTAAGATCAGATACCAGATCCCAAAACGTTGTTTGTTAATATCTGTTTTTTTACGGATTGTGATGGAAAATATTCCAAATAAACTCAAAATAACAATATTCACCATCACAAAAAATGAACTTTGTCTACAGTGTGGTATTTTGTTCACAGAAATTAGTTTGGAAGACAGTTGATTCCTCAATGTTTTCCTTTGCACACTATTTTTACTATTTATTACTCGCTACTCTACTCTCCTCACTCCAGACAACTGAACCAAAAAAATTAGGCTCAGTTTGTTTTAGCGTATGAAATACCTAAATAAATTTGTACATGTAAAAATGTTAAAAACAAACATAATAAATCATGTTCCAGTTTAGCAACAAATTAATTATAATAATTTATAAATTAATAACTATGATTAACAGTATGTAAATGAAGAGTACTTTTGATTAACAAATTTAAAGTTGTTTATCTTAGCGCCTCAATAATGCTGCTTCACAAAACATCCTAACCTTAATGTTGTAAGTATGCAAAAAAATGTCACATTCCAAGAGCTGTAATGCATTTATTTTAATTCGATAACATCTCTTAATTTGTGAAACATTTTTCGCTTGTTGATAAAGCATCACCTATCTCACGATTTGCACAGATAACTATTAAACAGACGAATGGTCCATAGTGATTCTCTCACCCTGGGGTCACACACTTGGCTGCAGTGTGCGTAAATGGCTCTGGCTCTGTCTATCTCTCCTAACTTTGTCTCCATCTCAGCAAACCTGAGACACATCTCTCTGCAGTTCTCTTCTTGCAGCACCTCAATGGCCTTCTCATAGATCTGCCTCGTCCTAGGCACTCCGTAGATGTCCGCTGCCTTCTTGATGTAGATGTTGAATAGCTGTTAAAACATCGATAGAGTTACTAGAGAAGTAATTTGCTTTTGCAACAGGGCACATAGTGAGACTATTCAACTGTACAATAAATAAACAGCCATTGACTAATAATAAAAACAGCCATAAACAATTACAAACCCTTTTCATTTTCATGGTGTAGTATCCACTGGATCACTAAGTTGAATTTAAATTATTTTAAGTTACCTTGTGACTCTTCCGGCGTCCCCACGCATGTCTCTTGTGGTAACTCTGGCTAGTTTTTCAGTATTAAAATTCAAAGTCAAAATATTTTTATTTCCAAAGATATTTTACGAAACTAAATGAAATGTAAACCATTCCATAGCCTACATATTAAATAAAATACAATCTGTCCTTTGGACGATAAATTACATACATATATACATGATAAAATGCTTGCACTTAGATACACAATGATAATTTAAAATCTTAGTCTTGCATAATATCTTGCATTTGCCTCTCCACATAGTCTACAGATCTTTGCGTGGAACATATCCAGCAAAACAAGGGGTGAGCCGGTACAGTACGAAAGTGAAATGTACTGATGAAATTTTTGCGGCAGGGACCAGTATCCGAACCCACGACATCGCTGCCTTGAGCCCGAAGTATGTGACGCTACCGACTGAGCCACAGACTCACCTAAAAACTTACATAATGGCTACAACTTACGCACGCAGGAGTTAAAAGTCTGATTAAAAAATATTATATTAGTTTATCGTGTTCTACAATGGTAACAACAAATATTTACCAAACCCGATAGGTAACCTGGTGTTTTTGTCACATTTGATAATGGACTCCAGAAGTCTGAAACTATAATAGTGTACAAAGGGTACCACAATGGGTCACTCAACTAAGCAAGGTAACTCAAAACATTCACCTTTTCATGTGTGTAATTCAGTGTATAAAAATACTCAACTGTACTATCGTACTAAGTTTTTAAATTATCTTTGTTACATGCACCTGTGTAAAATTAACTTTAACAAAATTTTAATTGTGCTAAAATATGCAGAATATTACATTTGTAGGAGATTTTACCTCAAACTGTTCTTCAGGTAGTACAGCCGCAGTGGCTCTCTCGTAAACTGCCATTGCATGCCGGGCCAAGCCATGGTCCTCTTCCAGCTTGGCATACAGTAGGTACAGGGCTAAAACATAAGAACACATTCATGTGACGAATGAAGATGATAATGTCTAAGCCTTTTAGTATTCAGTAAAAATATTTCTTCCTAGAGGTCTGTTGTGTACACTGCAACTTTGGTGTGTCTTTGTGTTCGGCAAAGAGTGAGAAACAGAACTTTATAAAATAATTTAATATACATATACATTCGAGTCTCGATTGTCTGACCTAAACCAGTAGTTTTTGGACATTTTCCAAGCTTGCTAAGCTTGGAAAATGTCCAAAAACGCAGAAAATTAATGAAAAACCTTTGTAGCCATGTTAAAAAAATTTACAAGTTGACAAATCTATTCAAGGCTTTAGGTTCTCTGTTTCCTTACATTAAAAGCAATATCTCTTTAAACACGTTTCCTGGGGAGCGAGCTGGCGTAGTGGCAAGAGTGTGGGACTTCAGTCCCTGAGGTCCCGGGGTCGATCCCCGCCAAGTCACCAATGGATTTTATATAAGTGATAATGCCGCAACCTCTAGGTCTAGCCTGAAGTAATGTGAAAAACAATCCCAGGCCTGTGCCTAGCGTCCAAGGAAAAAAAACTACCGCAATAGTACTAAATGTTTCATTCATATAGACCAGCAATGCATATATGCGAAGGCCGGTTTCTTGTGTTTAATATTTGTGTATTTTGACGACGACATCATGTTTAAATAATTTTGTGTTAGACGACAAGGCTTCAAAATGAAACGTCAGTTCTGAAACTAATCGCCTGAGACTATACTAGGATTGACGACGTAAGGTACGTAAACCTATTTTATATTAAATTTTGCTAGCTTACCTTTGGCAAACTTAGCCGGACAGTTTTCTAGACATTGCTCAAATAAATCTCGAGCCCTCTCAAGCTTCGTGCCTTCGTACCTCTTGAGAAATTTTGTCAGATAAGTGTTCCAAATGTCGTACACATTGGGCCATTTGAATAGAGCTATGCCTTTCTCATAAGCCTGTGAAATAAAAAAATATATTTAAAATTTCAGTGACTTGGTTGTATCAGTATCCCATTGATTTGTTTTCAATAATCTTCAAGAAAAGTTGTAAACTAAGACATTTATTTAAGTATTTATATCCTTATATAATAATAGGTCTTCAGCCTTAAAAATTATAATAATAGATCTTGTGTACAGAATCTTTTTAAATAAAAATCATAACATCACAATGAGACCTTCATGTGATTTTGGCAAAAACTATTGATCAGCATTTTTTTTTACTCTTCAGTCACAATTTCACTGTGTGGAGTCAAATCACCCAGAAGATGACAATCTGTATCAAGGTCAAAATGCTGGACTGGACAGGTAGTGATAATTTCTTGTGACAAAATCTTACAATACATAAGCTTGAAAGCTTGTGCATGAAGAGTATTTTTTATATTTTTGCTACAATCGGGGAAAAAACTTAAGAATGTTATACAAAAGTTAATTATTTTATTTTAACATGAATTTAAGAATTATACTTTGGATTTGTCAAACAAATTATAAACTTGGAAAATGTGCAAAACCAACTAAAAATAATTATTTACTTGGAGTACTCCTGGGTTCCATCTCCATCCTTAAGTGGTATTATATTACCAGGGATTAATTAATTACAACACCATTAGTTACTGTTAACATCCACAGACGGGAGTGGAATGGAGATTATGTAAAATCACATGAGCTCATAGCAGACTAAGGAAAGGATCCACGGTCCACCAAGCACACCGATCTTTCTTACTTACTCTAAAAGCTTCTTCAAAGTAGTTGTGTTCTTCAAGGAAGAGTCCGTAGTTGATAATAATCTGTGGTGTTGCAATCTTTAAGTCAATGATTCTATCATACACGGATTTGCAGGACTGAAAAATGAAAACAAATATTTATATCATTAACAACATACAAACCAGTCTATACTATATTCTAAGAAAACTCATGTTAAATTAACAACAGGTTGGTTTTTTTTAAGGAAAGGATTTAGGCCAGGGTTTTGGATTGTAGAATAAAGGGGTAGCAGCTAGCTTAACTCAGAAGAAGTACAGGTAGGTCGTAGAGCACACAGAAGACATTGTTCCCTGGGGGATTTTGTTAAGTGTAGGCCCAGAAAAAAAGAGTTTTGTAAAATTACAAACCAATAAAAAAAACCTTGATAGCACAATGTCATCTAATAACCTTACAGAAACAGTAGAAAAATCTAATTGCATCTAGTTATACTTTTGGCATTTCACTTGTAGTTTTTCTTACCCTATCATTGTTGCACAGTTTATAACACAAAAATAACTGATACATTTGAAAATACAGACACCGTCTGCAAATGGTGCATTGGTGAGTTAGTGGCTCAGTTGGTAGCACCACAGACTTTGGGCTGAAGACAGCAATGTCATGGTTTCAGATTCTGGAACCTACCACAACTTTTTATCAGAGTTTACTCCTTGCTTTGCTGGATAGTGGATACGTTACACACATGGGTCCCTAGCCTATCTGGACAGGTAAATGCAAGGTTAAACAAATGTTAACAATGGAAAATTCATATTGATGTGATACCAGGAGATTCTGGAATCAGTAATGAATCCAATAAAAAGCGTTGAGACTCAGAATCAGTGCATCTAAATTAAAATGGTTTATCTGCAAAATTCACAGCTCGATCCAGGTTTTATCACAGTTGCATACCTTGAATGTGCCAAAGCTTTCCTCTAAGTCGGCGTACATGGACCACAGTTTGAGTGACTTGTACACTCTCATCTGAACAGTTTCTGTCTCGTCGTGATATGCCACCTTGCGCGCTGGCATCACTGTGGCTCTCTGCATCAAACGTAGTGCTCCGTCATAGTTCCTGACAAACAACATAACAGTAAGTTTTTGGTCGTGGCCAACACGTTACTGTAACAATACCAAGGTAACAGGATCCAACAGGAACACTGAAAACCCCTGTTCATTCAGCTACAAATTCCAACAGTGATTAACATTTATTTATTTGACTGTATCATACGTTCAAAAAAATCCCAACTTAATCAAACAAATTTCTTATGTTCATTATACAAGGAATAAGAGCGTTGCTACCATAGATTTTTTCAGACTGTCTAAAACTCTTAAAAGCCATATGGTAATCTTTCTAAAAATATACAACAAGCTAATACATTTAATACGAAAATATCCTGAAAATACTTATAAAACTAAACTCTACAGATGGCTTTTGAACAACCCATTCTATTCTGTAAATGAATTTTTTGAAATGTCTGGTATTAATTTTTAAGTAGAGTTAGCGAATTGACCAAAGTACTGTTGGACTTTGTTGGTTATGCGGTTTAACCACTTCCATTATTTTCAATGCCACGAATTTGTCTTAAGAATAAGATTACCTATTCAATTGTAATATTTAAAATATGTATTTTAAAATGTCTCATTTTATGTAGTTAGCTATATTGTATCTTACTGTATTTATTAACTGACTATGCTATAAACCTTAGCAGTTGTATGACTTTGTCACCAATTTGTGAAAATTCTAAGGACAATAAACACATTTCATTTTCATTTCATTTCATTGGACGGTTTTTCCTTACAAAAAATAATGAAAATGCCAAAGACGTGGATATAAACTTAAGGAAAATTATTTACTCATGTACTTACTCGTGTCTGATCTCCATCTCGGCCCACTCGCACCACACAGACGCAAGGTCGTCTACCTTGACGTAAGGCACCAACGTCGCCTTCTCCAACACTACCCTGGCGTCTTCTATCTGTCCAGCCGCCTCGTAGAACTTGGCAAATGACACCCACAGAGTGTGCGGCTTACCCACGGCTAGTTTGGGGTCAACAGTTTGTACGGCTTCTGTGTACGTATTTATTATCTGGAAGCAAATTCTTACTCTAAGCTTCTTTTTATTACAAAATAATTATTTACTTGGAGTACTCCAGGGTTCCATCCTTGGTACTACTCTTTTTCTATTCTGCCTGAAACTAGATGGAAACAAACTCCACCCATTGCCCTTCAAAGTGGTGAGTGGAAAAAACAATAGAATCTTATTCTAAACAGTAGAATTGTAATAGGGTAATTTTTAAAATACATAAATGATCTACTAGTATATTATAGGTTTTAACCTTTAATAAATGTTGTTAGGCTACAAATTATCAAAATAAAATTATTTTACACAATTATGTACATTTAAGTATTGAAATTTACATTAAAAGTCTGTTCTTATTGATTATACTCACGTCATGTGGCTTCCCTTCGTACAGTTTGACTCTCTTGAGCCATTCATGAACGTTGTGTGGATTTTGTCTCAGAAGGACAGAATTGAGCAGCAACAGCCGTCGCTCAATCAGGTGTTCGAACCTTGCCAGCCGAATCTCTACCTCCACGTCATCTGTAAATTCCACCATTACGTGAGTTCAGTCATGTATATGTCTCTAGGTGCCAGGTAGTCGTAATGACTAGACAATTGTTGGAAGCCAACACACCAAGGTCAGCATGCTTTAAAGTGAAGACAGTTGAAGAGTGACTATTGAATAGATAAGACGATGGCTTTGTTACTAAGAAAGCTCAGCTACTTCTTAAGCCAGGGCCAGGACCCATCGATCAAAGGAAGCTGGGTGCAGCCTTCAAATGGCTTTTATTTCTAAGGTTTAAACTGGCAACGTAAAGCGGCACTAACTACTTTCTTAGTTATGTTCTCACCTTCTTCAGTTGGATTGGTTTTGGAAGACATTTCCTCCATGACTTTACTCAGACTCAACTCTTCAAACTGAGCGTAAGCATCAAACACTTGTGTGAAATCTCTCACTGTCGTTACTGTCTGGATGGCTTCTTCATAGATGTCTCTTGCCTGAAAACAAACCATTATATTAATGAATTTTGTAAAATACAACTGAATGTATACAATGTATATTTTACTGTAAAGGATTAACGTGTTGAGATTTCAAACTTATTGGTATTTTGGATGCAATTAAGAATATTCAGATAGAAAAAAATATCTGTATTAATGTTGCAGTCTGTCTAAAATAGGGTTTCCAATGAGCTACTGTTGGAGCCATAGGAGCTAGATAAATCTGACACCAGAGCCAGTTGTGGTCGTTTAAGTTTCCAGAGGGAGAGAATGCATAGATCGTGGTGTGACCGACAAAGAGATTGCCGAATGGATGGGAGACCTCTTTGAATTGCATCTTTAAGATTATTAAGGGCCCTGATAGCCTTAAATATGCCAATCCATAAGAAAGCTTACTCAACTCGAATCACTAGCTATCTCGATGCAAATTAATGGAACAATCACTGTCGGCTCTGCTGCGCAAATGTGTCCTGTCTGCAAGCACTTTATGCCACTTCCCATTTAAACAAGTTTATCCTACACATTCTTCGACTAGTAACTGATTTTGATTGAGGATTACCCCCTTTCCACAGAAACTTAATCACAGTTAACACAATTCATATTACGGAAGTGTCGCTGCTGAAGTATAGAGGTGCAGACCAGCTAGAATAGTAGTGATGGGAGTAAAGAACAGAGTGCTAGTGTCAAATGTAAACTAGCTTGCATGACCAAGACTGGAGCTCGATGAATACCTCAATTTACAGACAATCCTCATAAATACTCTATGATATTTACCGATGGCGGTGTATTACAATTTTTCTTACCCTCTCAAAAAGTCCACTCCTCACATAATAGTCAGCCAATGAGTTCCACAGGTGGCCGAGTTGGTCTGTGTACCTTCTTAACCCTCCTCGGATTATAGCATCTACGTTCAGTGATCTGCAATATATAATAATATAAATAAAAAGGTTATTTTAAAGGAAAGCTAAGGGGCTGGTTGGAAATTATTTTTAAGAAAGGAAGAATTAAGCTAGCTTACCTAAGAAAATCAAGAGTTCAGGCGCTACTAAGCCTCTTCTTGGCAGGTGTCTACTTAACCAGGAACTGTGGTGTAACAGTCACACCTGTAGTCATTAGTCACATCTCGTTTCATACTGTTTTAATGTAAATTATTTACTTTCATGTTATAATAAGTTGAAACGTTGAAAGCTAAGATAATGATGTGTTTGTAATTTAACTAGTATGATTTTTTTCAGACTAGAGAAAAAAGGTGATAATCCTATTTTGACATTTTTCTTACTTACCTCACTTTATCAGGGTTCTTGGATATCAGCTCACACAACTCATTCCACAACTGGTGGTTTGATTTTCCATGTTTCGACACAAAATCTTCCTTGTTGACGATGTATGCTAGTTTTACAGCTGCTTCATCTAACCTCTCAATAGAGGTCAAATATTCTATATAATCCTCGGTATCTTCTGGACACAGCTGGAAAGTGATCAATGTTTTAGTTTTAAAGGAAATCACTTATGTAAAACAAGTTGACGAGTGTTGTTCGGTGCACTACTTTATTCATTATTGCAATTGCTTAATTTTGCTATCTGCTAAACCTCTCATAAAATTCTAGGCTGAATTTGTTTACCAAATCAAATAGTTACAGTAATTTAACAAGATGGAAAATCTGTGTTTATTGACTTCTTGATACCTAATCATTTTGCACATGTTTTTGGTATGCCTATATAAAAAAAAAGAATTATGTCAAACAGCACTATAATATTTACACGATAGTCTACCTATTACATTAAAGATAATACATCAAAAAGCATACAAAAAAGCCTTACAAAATATTGGCCAAGCACACAAAGGGTTAACTGTTTAGGCCTACTATTTATTTAGTTCTGATCTAGATGGTTGGCGATCCGTACGATTGAAATTCTACTGTACTTCTACCAATAGTCAAGCTTCTAACTATTCACCTTGAGGTACCGCCGGAAGACTCGGACGGCAGTTTCTGGAATGTCGTGTCTCTTGAGGAACGCAAGGTAGAGCGGCCAGATACGATGGTGCTGAGTGATCGGCAGCGCTCGTAACGCTCGGTCAAACACCTGCCTCGTACGAGTGATGAGACACTGGTCCACCAGAAACTGACAGTAGTCCAGCCAGATCCTCGGCATCTAAGCCAACGGAAACAATATGTGATAGTGTTTATAGGCCTATTGTTCTATGTGATAGTAATATTGAATATGTAAAAATACAAATTATTTTAGCGTTTCCTAGTAAAACTACAGGATTCAGTGGTAAAACCAATAGAATATTAAACTATATTGTGCTTCTTTTTTACAGCTAACAAACAATCTAAACCTTTAGTGAATATTTTTTTTACTGAATGTAGAGTTAAATCCCTCCCATAAAGTCTTTGTAATAAATATTTGCGTTAGCAACTCACCTTGTGCATGAAAACAAGTGATCTTTCAAAAGCATTGTTGACATCTTCGTAAGATGGGTCTGTAATGCAACGTCCTTTCACTTGTCTTCTTCTGAGTTTCAAATAATTGTACCAAAGTTTGTAGCTAGAAACAAAAATGAAGTTAAGTTATGTTTGGCTTCAGTATCTTAGGTTTTACAGACTTATACTTTCAAAGTGAACCCTAATAAGCCTAGTCTATAGGCTACTGCAGTTTCATTACCAAGGGGAGCTTCTTCAGGCCCTTAAGGACATCAAATTACGTTCCAGGAGAAGTTGTCAAAGTTTAAATCCATCAAAGTTACATTTACACAAAGACAAACAAAACAAATAAACATTACAAAAACTCAGTACCGGTTTTTTTAATTTGATGAAATTTGATGTATTTCAAAGCCTGAAGAAGTGTCTCTTGGGAATGAAACAGCAGTAGCCTATATACTATTAGGGATCACTTTGACAATAAAAGGTATTTACTATACCTACATGTTGTGATCTGGAGGCTAACAGCATGAAAAATACAAACACTTTGCGGGAATTTTTATTTTAAAACTCTTCAAGTACCCAGGCCAAATGAACATTACTTGGATTTGTTCTGGATATATTAAATCAGTTGAATATTATGAAAAAAAACACAAGAGGTTGTACAAGCAACTTAATAATGTTAAAGATCCTTCAGATTACTTTAACTTACTGATACTATGCTATACAATGTTTCAATAAATTTAAAAATCAATAAGGCTTAGGCCTAAAGGAAGGGAAAACATTTCAAACATAATTAGGCCTAAGGTAATTTTAGCTAACTTCAATTTATTTAGGCAAATTTATTTATTTCATCCTAGACTATTAACATTTGGACAAAAACACTTTTTACCTCCCTTTAGCAGAAAAGCAAATGACTTATACTTGATGAATCTACTTAAATGTTATTTAAATGGGGGATAAATATGTCATGCTTAAGAAAATATTTTTGTGAAAATCCAATCAGACAAATAGAAATTCGCTTTGTCTGCAGATTGGCTGCGGAGGGTGTATTTTTAGCATAATGGGTCTGCACACACAGCTTTCACCAAACACTGAATTTTTGGCAAATAACAAACTATTTTTAGCCAATTTAAATTCATCGTCCTAATTCTGGATATTGATTTACATTAATAGAAAGTATTTAGTCACCTAGTTTATGTCATGTTAAACTACATGTTTTGTGGTAACTTCCACATCGGCTTTATACTCTTTTATAATTCGTCATAAAATTTCTAACTAAACACATAACAAACTTTGAAAAAGACACATTTAATCATTTAAAGACTGTAGGTACTTTATTTCTATCACGGTGAGAGTAAGCATTTTGACGGGCTAGCAGAGACTGGTAACAAACACTTTCTATTCAATTTGATATTTGCTGATTTCCTAATAAAGGTGTGTCCACACATTCGTCACTTTCTGAGCAGTCCATTTATTACAATGATGTGTGGAAAAGAACTAAAACGCAGGAAATGACGAGCACTAAGGTTCGCAAAATGACGAGTAGACGAACACCGATCGACACTTGTCATGATTGGACAAGTAGCTATTCGGTGTATGACGAATGCCACATGTGAGTTCATGCCTTTAAAATATGGTAGACCTAGGCCTACTGTAAACATGACATACTATGCCTTACCTGCCAGGTAATTCCTTGAGTGCTCTCTCGTAAATAATGTTAACTGCATTTTTGGGAGCATCTTTTTTATGCTCTATGTATCGTAACCAATGTTTTACTGAAAAAGGATTTCGTAATATCTCTTCTTCATATGGCAAATCCTCTTCATTCTAAAACAACATCTAAATTAACATCTTTGACCAATTAACACACAAACTACTAAGGAGGTATCACCAAATAAATTGTCTTGGGAGGGAATTTAGTCTGAAATCCTAAAGCCGTGTTTACACATGGCCAGTGATGCAGGTAGGTTAAAACCTGCCTCAGGTTACTTAAAATACACTTAAGCAAAGCCAGGTAACCTGTTTACCTACTTGCCTCAAGTAATCGCGGCTTAGTACTTATTGTTATTAAAATTAAAAGAGTTATCCAATGAGTCTACGTCTTGTTTACTTTAATAACTTAGTTTTTTTAACATTATTAGTTGTTTAATTTCCCACTCTCAAATCAATCTGGAAATAGCAATTTATTAGAAATCGGAATTTAAAACAACACATGTTGAACATGTTAGCTTTGCATCAAATAATAAACGGTATCAGCATTCTGACACATACTTTCTCCCATAAGTTGTCCAACAACCTTTATTATGTGTAAGTGGTGTAAAGATACGGAAATGGGATTTGTACAATTTTGTTCAGAATTTAAAGGACTATAACATACAAAATTATTATCAAAATTGTTCGGGCCATTTTTGGGAAAATCCGATTTTTCTGTTATTTTATGGGGGTTTTATGGGAAAATGACATAATTTACAATAACTTTTGAACCGTAATTTTTACAGAAATGGGATTTGTACCATTTTGTTTAGAATATAAAGGACTATAACATACAAAATTTTTATCAAAATCGTTCGAGTCATTTCTGGGAAAATCCTATTTTTCAGTTATTTTATGGGGTTTTATGGAAAAATTCCCATAAAAAATACAAATTTCTAAAAAATTAAAAAACTATCAAAATTGTAACGACCATAACCTACTATGTTAAATCAAAACAGGATTTTTTATCTAAAATCCTATTTTTTGTTATTTTATGGGGTTTTAATGGGAAAATAACATATTTGACCATAACTTTTGAACCGTAATTTTTACAGAAATGGGATTTGTACCATTTTATTCAAAATTTAAAGGGATACAACATACTAAATTTTTATCAAAATCGTTCGGGCCATTTTTGAGAAAATCCAATTTTTCCGGTTTTTTATGGGTTTTTATGGGAAAATCCCCATTAAAAATCAAAATTTCTAAAAAATGAAAAAAACTCCTGGAGATACCATGGATTAGGACCTACATACCAAATTTCATCGAAATCGGACCACAGGTGTAGTCCCTAGCTCTGTACACATCCAGACACACAGACACACACACACACACACACACACACACACACACACACACACACACACACAGACATCACTTTGAAAACCACTTTTTTGGGTCCAGGGGGACCCAAAACGAATATATCCACTCAAAACTCAAACTCGAAAATTTTGACGAAAACAATACTTTCTCCATATACTATGGTATAGGGGGAGAAAGTAAAAACAGAAGATGCTTAAAAAGTTATAGATGATTTTGTGTATAATTATTTTTTTCCTAAGTAGTTACAGTTAAAAATTTAAGAAACAATTAATTTTATAATTCCATTGCAGTTATCATATTAACGGTAGGCCTATTGAAAACTGTGTTGATTTTCGAAAAGAACAATGTTTGATCACGTAAAAAAGCAAAATCATAGGCTTTAGTTTGTTTATATCGAATAGTTTGTGGTTTTAGTTTTATTTTTTATTTTTCATTAAATATTATTTGTTTTTGGTAGTAGGCCCTATATCTCGTTTGCTACCGATCACCACATATTTGTGATGTGCAGTCATTGCCACGGCCCGAGGTATACATTTTAATATTACACATAGACTGGGTGTCACTTGGTTAATAGTAGGTTACACGCAGATCACGGGCCAGTGATGCAGCAAAGTAAAAATCAGTTTTGCTAACTAACATATGATGTCACTAATCATCATATCCACAGACCAAGTGATGCACATGTGCAACAGACATCCCTGTAGACCACTGCAGAGAATTCAGGGCCTTCAAATAGACCGTTACAAAGATATAAGCTTTATAATAACATCGGACACCGACGAAATATACGATGTCAGTCTGTTTTATTGTAACAAGCTGTCACATATATGTGATGGCAGTCTATGGGTAGAAACCAGCCGTGGCATATGTGTGTTGCTAGTACATATGCCACATATGAATGAAAAAATTTAGTACTATTGCAGTAGCAAACGTGATAAATTGTTTTTATAGATTAAATATCAATTGCATTTTCTTGGTACTTTCCTGTTGTTATTATTAAGGGGGGACATTATTATCATTGATTTTTTTTATATATAAGCTATCAAATTTAATTTTTTTGATCTGATATTATTACTTAACGAATTGAAACATATAAGCTGACAACTACGATAAATAAATATTGTGCAGTATTAACAAACAATAAAAAATTATATTGAAATAAGTAAAACTGTTCTAAACTAACCTAACCTAAGTTAACCAACCAAACTTGCTATAACATTTCAAAATTCCGTTTGATATTCCCCACATGTTCTGCTATCAAACGAAACGGAATTTTGAAATGGTAGCCTTTTGAGGTTTGGTTAGTTATGTTAGGTTAGCCTACAGCAAGTTTGGTTTGTTATGTTAGGTTAGTTTAGAATACTTTCATTTCTTAATCCAATATATAGGTACCGGTACCGGCTATTATTTTTGCCTTAACCAGATTAGGCCTAGTTCTTAATCCTATTCTCTAATACAAGCTATAACTCGTCGGTTATTGAACCAAGTATAACCATAGATAAAACATACTCCCTTAGGTATAACTTAGACATATTCGCTATGTGTGTCTGTCTGATTGGTGTGAACCTGGCAATAACTCCAGCCATAAGTAGTGCGCGCGCCCGAAAAATCTATTGCTGGCCGATTTGCGGCGAAATACGGCCGCGTAACATAATACCGATGATGTCACCAGATAGAGGACAATTTAACGGACACGACAGTATCAATATCATGTACCTGGCGGATAAGAAAGAGGGGGTAAAGTCAGCAATAAGTAGTGGGCTTGCCCGAAAAAATCTATTGCCGGCCGTTTTGCGGCAAAATACGACCGCGTAACATGAAACCGATAATGTCACCAGATAGAGGACACTTTAACGGACACGACAGTATCAATATCATGTACCTGGCGGATAAGAAAAAGGGGGTAAAATCAGCAATAAGTAGTGCGCGCGCCCTCAAAAATCTATTAATGACCGATTTGCGGCAAAATACGGCCGCGTAACATAATACCGATGATATCACCAGATAGAGGACACTTTGACGGACACGACAGTATCAATATCATGTACCTGGCGGATAAGAAAGAGGGGGTAAAGTCAGCAATAAGTAGAGCGCGCGCCCTCAAAAATCTATTGCTGGCCGATTTGCGGCAAAATACGGCCGCGTAACATAATACCGATGATGTCACCAGATAGAGGACACTTTAACGGACACGACAGTATCAATATCATGTACCTGGCGGATAAGGAAGGGGGGGGGGGTAAAGTCAGCAATAAGTAGAGCGCGCGCCCGAAAAATCTATTGCTGGCCGATTTGCGGCAAAATACGACCGCGTAACATGAAACCGATAATGTCACCAGATAGAGGACACTTTAACGGACACGACAGTATCAATATCATGTACCTGGCGGATAAGAAAGAGGGGGTAAAATCAGCAATAAGTAGTGCGCGCGCCCTCAAAAATCTATTAATGACCGATTTGCGGCAAAATACGGCCGCGTAACATAATACCGATGATATCACCAGATAGAGGACACTTTGACGGACACGACAGTATCAATATCATGTACCTGGCGGATAAGAAAGAGGGGGTAAAGTCAGCAATAAGTAGAGCGCGCGCCCTCAAAAATCTATTGCTGGCCGATTTGCGGCAAAATACGGGCGCGTAACATAATACCGATGATGTCACCAGATAGAGGACACTTTAACGGACACGACAGTATCAATATCATGTACCTGGCGGATAAGAAAGAGGGGGTAAAGTCAGCAATAAGTAATAAGTAAGTAAGCAATAAGTATTACCTATGTTCCGGTTCCCCCATTATTGTTTTCGAAACACCATGGTTTATTTGACAAAAATAAATTAAAGCAAAACAAAGAAATAGCCATCTTAGCTTCAAGGTCAAGCTATCCGCTTGCACTGACAATCATCTCATCTGCTCTTTACACAACTGATGTCTGCTGTGCACTTACTTGCTATCTCACAACAGTTTGTGATTGGGTGATTAGTAACCATGGCAACTTGTTGAATTTGTGGATGAAGAGAAACCAAAGAAAGAATAGAAGAACAAAGAAGAAAGAATAAGCGGAGTTTTACGTCATCCATTTTGTTATCTTTATCCTATTTTACGACTGTCGTTATTATCTTTAAGACTAAGTACTATGATTTTATGCTGTTTTATGAGTTGTCTAATGTTTTTATCGACATTCTTATGTTCTGAAACAACATGTAGTAGTAGCCTATTCTGACTACGGTAGCAGTAGCTTGCAGTACTAGACTTTCTATTGTTTTGTTCTTTACGTGATTTATTGCTGTACGTACAGTGTTGTGTAATTTTTGTTTTGCTTGAGTAGGCGTGATTTTAAACGTTACAGTTTTTATTACTGAACCAAGGTTATTGACTTAACATATCACGAATGCGCAATACTATTATTTGTATTTTGATTATGTAAAATGCACTACATTCGGTTAGTCCGGCCGTTTTGTAGTTCGGCCAGTGGTCCGGTCCTAAGGTGGCCGAACTAGAGGGAGTCTACTGTAATGCCATTTACACTAATACAATCAGTTAAGATTATATAAGCTCCAATACTGACTTAAACTATACAACAAACAACATTTCATCAGCAATTGCATCAATACAATCAATCAACAATAACAGCTATAAAACTATGACATACAATAACAATAACAATGCAGAATGACCATGAATAACCATAACAATGCATAAAGAATATTAATAACAATCACAATTATAATAATATGTATATCTGAACCATTTAGCGTAGTATGTCTGAGTTTTAACTGTAATCTGATGATAGTAGTGTAGTTCCTCAAGTCTAAGGTGTAAACTGTATTTGGATGTATAAGTGTAATAATTGGGAGTGAATTAATTAATCGTGTAGAATTTTGTGTTGAAGGGAGGCTAGACTGTCGCTGTAGAGGTCAACTAGAGTTGAGAATTCGTTTTTTATGTTAATAAATTGATCATTCAAAGCCGTGACAACTGACAACTTACGACTAGACTGGTTGACGATCCTTTTGTATCACCAACTTTTACCATAAAGTATTAGGCCTATAATCCTATTATGCGCAGCCACTCAAGTCGCGCAGATTTTTTCGGGCGCGCGCACTACTTATTGCTGACTTTATCCCCCCTTTCTTATCCGCCAGGTACACGATATTGATACTGTCGTGTCCTTTAAAGTGTCCTCTATCTGGTGACATCATCGGTATTATGTTACGCGGCCGTATTTTGCCGCAAATCGGTCATTAATAGATTTTTGAGGGCGCGCGCACTACTTATTGCTGATTTTACCCCCTCTTTCTTATCCGCCAGGTACATGATATTGAAACTGTCGTGTCCGTTAAAGTGTCCTCTATCTGGTGACATTATCGGTTTCATGTTACGCGGTCGTATTTTGCCGCAAAACGGGCGGCAATAGATTTTTTCGGGCAAGCCCACTACTTATTGCTGACTTTACCCCCTCTTTCTTATCCGCCAGGTACATGATATTGATACTGTCGTGTCCGTTAAAGTGTCCTCTATCTGGTGACATCATCGGTATTATATTACGCGGCCGTATTTTGCCGCAAATCGGTCTTTAATAGATTTTTGAGGGCGCGCGCACTACTTATTGCTGATTTTACCCCCTCTTTCTTATCCGCCAGGTACATGATGTTGATACTGTCGTGTCCGTTAAAGTGTCCTCTATCTGGTGACATCATCGGTATTATGATACGCGGCCGTATTTTGCCGCAAATCGGCCAGCAATAGATTTTTGAGGGCGCGCGCTCTACTTATTGCTGACTTTACCCCCTCTTTCTTATCCGCCAGGTACATGATATTGATACTGTCGTGTCCGTTAATGTGTCCTCTATCTGGTGACATCATCGGTATTATGTTACGCGGCCGTATTTTGCCGCAAATCGGCCAGCAATAGATTTTTGAGGGCGCGCGCTCTACTTATTGCTGACTTTACCCCCTCTTTCTTATCCGCCAGGTACATGATATTGATACTGTCGTGTCCGTTAAAGTGTCCTCTATCTGGTGACATCATCGGTATTATGTTACGCGGCCGTATTTTGCCGCAAATCGGTCTTTAATAGATTTTTGAGGGCGCGCGCACTACTTATTGCTGATTTTACCCCCTCTTTCTTATCCGCCAGGTACATGATATTGATACTGTCGTGTCCGTTAAAGTGTCCTCTATCTGGTGACATCATCGGTATTATGATACGCGGCCGTATTTTGCCGCAAATCGGCCAGCAATAGATTTTTGAGGGCGCGCGCTCTACTTATTGCTGACTTTACCCCCTCTTTCTTATCCGCCAGGTACATGATATTGATACTGTCGTGTCCGTTAATGTGTCCTCTATCTGGTGACATCATCGGTATTATGTTACGCGGCCGTATTTTGCCGCAAATCGGCCAGCAATAGATTTTTGAGGGCGCGCGCTCTACTTATTGCTGACTTTACCCCCTCTTTCTTATCCGCCAGGTACATGATATTGATACTGTCGTGTCCGTCAAAGTGTCCTCTATCTGGTGATATCATCGGTATTATGTTACGCGGCCGTATTTTGCCGCAAATCGGTCATTAATAGATTTTTGAGGGCGCGCGCTCTACTTATTGCTGATTTTACCCCCTCTTTCTTATCCGCCAGGTACATGATATTGATACTGTCGTGTCCGTTAAAGTGTCCTCTATCTGGTGACATTATCGGTTTCATGTTACGCGGTCGTATTTTGCCGCAAAACGGCCGGCAATAGATTTTTGAGGGCGCGCGCTCTACTTATTGCTGACTTTACCCCCTCTTTCTTATCCGCCAGGTACATGATATTGATACTGTCGTGTCCGTCAAAGTGTCCTCTATCTGGTGACATCATCGGTATTATGTTACGCGGCCGTATTTTGCCGCAAATCGGCCAGCAATAGATTTTTCGGGCGCGCGCTCTACTTATTGCTGACTTTACCCCCTCTTTCTTATCCGCCAGGTACATGATATTGATACTGTCGTGTCCGTTAAAGTGTCCTTTATCTGGTGACATCATCGGTATTATGTTACGCGGCCGTATTTTGCCGCAAATCGGCCAGCAATAGATTTTTCGGGCGCACGCTCTACTTATTGCTGACTTTACCCCCCCTTCCTTATCCGCCAGGTACATGATATTGATACTGTCGTGTCCGTTAAAGTGTCCTCTATCTGGTGACATCATCGGTATTATGTTACGCGGCCGTATTTTGCCGCAAATCGGCCAGCAATAGATTTTTGAGGGCGCGCGCTCTACTTATTGCTGACTTTACCCCCTCTTTCTTATCCGCCAGGTACATGATATTGATACTGTCGTGTCCGTCAAAGTGTCCTCTATCTGGTGATATCATCGGTATTATGTTACGCGGCCGTATTTTGCCGCAAATCGGTCATTAATAGATTTTTGAGGGCGCGCGCACTACTTATTGCTGATTTTACCCCCTCTTTCTTATCCGCCAGGTACATGATATTGATACTGTCGTGTCCGTTAAAGTGTCCTCTATCTGGTGACATTATCGGTTTCATGTTACGCGGTCGTATTTTGCCGCAAAACGGCCGGCAATAGATTTTTTCGGGCAAGCCCACTACTTATTGCTGACTTTACCCCCTCTTTCTTATTCGCCAGGTACATGATATTGATACTGTCGTGTCCGTTAAATTGTCCTCTATCTGGTGACATCATCGGTATTATGTTACGCGGCCGTATTTCGCCGCAAATCGGCCAGCAATAGATTTTTCGGGCGCGCGCACTACTTATGGCTGGAGTTATTGCCAGGTTCACACAAGTGTCTGTCTGTAACTTAAATGAGTTTTAAGATATTAAAACAGATGGAATATGGATCGTAAAGGAAAACAAAAATATCAATAGGCTACTTATATCGAAAAGAAATCATCGACGATAATAATGAATGTTCCCCTTAACAGGAAATTGTCGAGATTTGTTGTCATTAAATCAAATATAATATGCAATAAATCTTGTAAATAGGCTACCTAATTAGTAAAGGAATCAGAAAAACATACGAAAGCAAGCTAAAGCAATAAAACACGCACTAGGCCTATTAAGAGAATACAATAATAACCAATATTATATGCCTTGTTTTGTATCTTTGTAAGTTTAAAATGCACAACCAAAGCCGACAGAAAACGTTTGGCCAAACAATAGCCTAGGCCTAGTAACTAAATGTAACAAAACTTTATATCTACCAAATAAACACCTCTCTAGAAATCAACTTACAAATATGAGATCGACAGTTTTTTTTGTGTACACCGGCATGATTCCGCTCAAATGAAGATCTTTTAGACTTAAAATTGATAATATTATTTACTAGTAGAACTGTACATGTAAGACTTTCGTCATTTCTCACATCAGCAACATGAACATAACCTATTTCGGGAGGTGGGAGTTAGGAGTGGAAGGGTAAACAAACAATAAGCAAGCAGACAATCTTCCCTTTTTTTTCTTAAGCGTGCTACAACTGTTTTATTTCCATGTAGCAGTATAGTGTATTTGATTCTAGCATAAATTTTGTAGATACCTGTATACTAACTTTTATAGATGTATCACTTATCTTAATTTGTGTCTTAATGGATCTTAATGGAATACAAATAATCTACTAATATTTAAAATTGTAAGTCAAAGTAATTTATTCAGCCAGATGAACAAACATTTTGCATTGGCCCAGTCTTGACTAATAAAATTACATTACTTGGACACTTACTTATTTGCATTTATTAAAAAAAAAATGGCATCAAAATACTAATTAATGGAATACAATTAACTGTATATTGTGACCCACAATCCCTTTTGATGTTTAACCAAGGCTACTAGTAAATTCCCGGATGCTGTAGCCAAGACCCCCCTAGAAAACACTAGAATAAGTTGTTCTATTGGGGCCTCGCTGTAGCAGACCTTATCTATCAAGATGGACTTTAGATACTTTCTAAACTTTCCGATGTCCATGTTCCCTGTTCGGCTTTCAATCTGGGAGAGGGAAGTCATAAAAGTGTTGCGTTGAAGAGTGAGTTTTACTGAAAGTAAGTGGTTGAGTGTCCTGCCGTTAGGGTACTATAAAGGATTGGAGTTGTCGCTGAGAGGATAAATGATGGAGAACTATAAGATGACAGGATTTCTTAATGAATGATAAGGTTTCTAAAATTTAAATAATTTTATATTTTGGTGGTCGAAAAGTGTGAAAAAAAACCTGTTCTCTAACTCTTTTAATTACATTGCCAATATTAGAGTTATTTGTATCTACAATCTCTTGAAGATTTTGAACTGATAAGAACATACAGAGTTAAACTAGGGTATAAATATCTGTTCTCCTTTAAAAGCAATTTTTTTTAGAAGAAACTGTATGCTTGTCACATATCCATTGCAAATTCATTTAGACCTATGGCCTATGTGATTTGTGAGTTATTCTTTTAGCTCTTTGATTGTGCATTGTTTTATAATAATATCAATAGACACAGTCTTCCAGAAGGAGACATTTTTTGACATCTCTATAACAGAACTTATTTAGCTTTCTGTTGAATTATTTGAATTATTTTTAATTTGTTTATGTATTTTGTTGCACAGTGTAGGGGAGGGGTGGACCACAATGGAACAAAAATTACGAAACAATTTTTGGTTTTTTACATGTTTGGTTAACAGCTCCAGAAGATAAATGCACTTATAGAACAACCTTTCCTGCACACATTACATATATTTTTAAATTGATGATGAAATGGAAACTGATTTTTATGGACTGTTTAGAAAAACCTTAGTTGGTGTGGACCACAGTGGAACAAAATGAATTAAAATGCAAAAATACAGTACAATAAGTTGTTTATTCACCACAAATAATACACATGTAAAAACTAACATTCTCAAATGCTTCTACTCGTAATTAGTTTACAGTGTGCAAGTCAAAATTCACTTTCTTCCTCTTAACATATTGATCTCTAAACAGCCATTCAAGACTTTGCCTATTGAAAAATTTCCAAAAAATGATATTTTGATGGAAAACCCCATAGTTGGGTTTCAAACTAATAAATTAATAATATTTTTTGCTACAATGAAACACATGCTGTTGGGTCACATTGGAACAGTTCCATTGTGGCCCAGCATCAACTGTTTCATTGTGGCCCAATGGCCCATGTCTGTTTGATAAGAAAATCTAACCCTAATTCCACTTCAGAACTTTGTACAAATGCTAACTAAGTTTATAGTCTAAAATTTAAAAAGAGTTGTTATTTATACTTGGTATGTGCCACTTATCTCTAATAACTTCAAATAAAAGTTAACGTTGTGAAGAAACAACCTGGACAAGTTACTTCAAGATGTCAAAAACAAAATATGAATAAGAATAATATCTCTTCCTTACATGGAGGCAGCCATTTGCACAAATGAACAAGCAGCAAAATGAATGAATGAGCAATTTTTTGTAAGGGTGAACAAACAGTTTTGGAGTTCACTCACAGAGTGCAGCAGTTGGCAGACTAGCCAAATACAAAAAAAATATAGTTGTTCCACTGTGGCCCATCCTCCCCTACTGATGATGTTACTTGGATCACAAAGATTTATTTGGAAGCATTGGCCAATATAAAACCTTTATGAAGCTCAGTTTTTAACTTACTTTTTCACAGGGATATTACAGCCTCTTTTTCTTCCATCATTCAAAAAGATTTTCGAGGTAGTAACGCAAACTAAATTTTGAAGGCTACTATACCCTTTAATCTAGATCCAAATAAACCCTTAAATGCAACTGACTGGGCTTTCTAAATAATTGGCACACCAGTTGATACTTAAAAACTAAGTTTCCTTCTGATAAATTTAAGCATTAGATAAAAACATAGTCTAGTATATTTCCCATCCTTATGGAACAGCTGAAGCCAATTTTATTGTTAGTTCTGTCCGGTTTTCTGTAGATGTCGTGTTTTGTTTAAATTTTGTTTCCATTATTTTAGGGCTAGTTTCTTATTATTTGTGTCTCACTGTTTGGTTATATAGCTAGTGGACGAGTTTTTGTTTATGACTAGATAGTTTTATTTGGTTAAACGAGGTTTTAAATTACTGAAATAACAAAGAAACAAATTGTAAATAAAACACAACATCTACAGAAAACCGGACAGAATTAACAATAAAATTGGCTTCAGCTGTTCCATAAGGATGGAAAATCTATTAAGGGACTATGTTTTATCTATGATTTAAGATAGTAAAAAGTGATATTCAACACATTCAGCTGAATTTTAAATTTCTCATTAATTTGGTCTGTTTTTTTTAATTTTTTCTCAATCACATACTGTTCTTATTCAAAATTCAATAATTTGTAAATTGTTTACATTCACATATTTATTTTGTTTATTAGCGAATTTCCCATATAGGTAATAAGCTATTCTCCGTAAGTCTCATGGTAAGACCTGGGCCCTTAGCAAATTTCCTTATAGGGAAGAAGCTATATTTACTGTAGGTGACACGGTAAGACCTATGCCCGGGACCGATTTCTTTTTTCATTTTGATGTCCCCAGAGGCCAAAAACACCATTCATTCAAATTTTTTATATATGTATATATATACGTCTGTGAACAACTTGAGTATTTTTTGTCCGATTTTGATAAAATTTGGTTTGTAGGTGTAAACGGCATAAACTTGAATGAGTTCGCAAACCAGCATGATCGGACCATGGGAACGGGGTTTAACGGGGGGTTGTATGGGGTAAAAATGGGGTTTTCTCATTTTTTACCCTTAAAACACAAAATTTTTCAATTTTTCTCTAGACCTTTTTAAAGAGCTTAAAAAACCAATAATGATGTATATCAAAGTGTTTTTGTATGGTTATTGGTTACGGAGAAGTTTTAAAAAAACTCCTCATTTAAAACTCTCATTTGTTATTCTTATGGAGAATATACTAAACTATTAATATGACGAACATTTTAAGTATGGGTTGTGACTTGTAGTTTTTAAAAGATCATGGGTACTTTGGGATATATATATATATATATGGATTTATTTATGCTTTTTTAAATTTACAGGTAATCAAATTGAAATCGAAAGTTAAGTACCAGTATTTATGTTTATAAAACATCAGTAAACCAAGAAAAAACTAAATACATCCACTCAAGTCAGATATTCAATGTATGCACTTTGTTCCATGATTGATTATTACAAGGTCAGAAAATTACTGTAATTTATACATGCAATCTTGCATCCAAATAATTACAGAAATGCTCAACAAATTGCTATTGAAAGTACTCAAGTTGTTTGCTGTATCATATCCACTGATGCTGAGTCTGAATAGTTTTTAACGTTTTGTACAAACCAGTATTGAAGCTCCAAAGGGTGTTATATCATTGTTAGACAACATTTCCAATTCAAATGGTTTCTTGTTCCACATAGTTTATTGCCCAAGGTCTTTCTTGTCAAAGAGCCAAAGTTTCTAGACTCCAGTGGGTGTTAGTCTTTCAGGATGGACGTTGCCTTTCTGTACGTTCTGTGTTGCTTGTAAGTTTGTACATTAAAGTCTATCACAATTAGCATTATTTTAAGTTCATTAAGAGTGTTACGTATTACAAAATGCTTCTCAAAGTATGATTAAATCTAATTCAGAATGCGTCAAACCAAAATCACTCTGATTTGTTAGGTGAAATTAAACTTATGAACATGTGATTACTTACTATTACTTAGCTTCATGCTAATTTGCTTAAATTGGTGATTTTGTCGAATGTTCTTAAAGTATATTTTAGCAAATAAATGTCCCATATTGAGAATAAGCTATTATAGTAGGAGTCATGATAAGACCTCAACCCGTTTAAGTACCCATCAAACTAATGCTATTGAAATAGGGAATAAAATATGTAATATTTTTAAGGAGATATGTTAGTGTAAATACAATCAGGCAAATGGAAATTCCCTTAAGTTGGGTTTTCCTAGGTGCGGAAGCGGAGCACGGAGAGAGGAACGCGGAGAGCAGACTCCTCTTGTCTTAGGTCATTAAAATGTTACTCTTTTCCTAGAAGCGGAGCGGAATACCATGTTAATCGCTTTTCTGCCCTCTGCTCTCCGCCCTCCGCGCGCCTCTTCTCCGTCTAGGAAAACCCGGCATTAGTCTGCGGAGAAGGTATTTTAATAATGTTACTGAGACAAGGATGCAATTTTAAATTAATGAAATATAAGTTTATATAGGATGAGATACCTTGTATGCTTTAGAGACTATTGAAACCTAAATAGTTATAATAAATTATTTTTAAAACCTCAAATCCTTGTTCCTCAGAATAGAGCGTGGATCTAAAAGCTATTATTTTAAATGTGTCACCTATTTTCACGGCTATAATTAATTGGTAGAATATCACATGCCGGTTTTTGGAATGTTACATTTTGATTTTTCCATTAGATTTTTTAGTTTTATTTATATAAATAGGAACACAAGGATTGAGAAATATTTTTAATATTTGAGATCATACTAATATTACTGGGAGGCTATATAAACCTTTAGTAATTTAGTACCTACTTTTTTGCTCTAAATAGATTTACTTTTTTAATTTCTCTAGTTTTACTTTCCTTCAATAGATCCTTGATTTGGTCTATTAGATGTTGAGTGGGGTTTCTAATGGGGCATACAATCTTTTTCACCACAATGTTTAAGCTACGCGTATTGCTGTCCATACCGACTGTCATCGTCATTTGGGGACCGAGCAGGTTTTTACATCCCTAGGACCGAAAATCAGCTGGCCGCTTACTTTCTTAAAACATTAATTAATGAATATTAAAATACACATTGTAATAGAATTGTTTTATTGTCACCGCTGCCCATCAACTATTTATTATAATTTAACTGATTCCTCAAAAATTATTTCTTCACATAACCATAAAGTTGTAGTTCTGTTTACTATTAGTGAGCATTATTATTGTTATTGTGGTAAACAGTGGTAATAGAGTATAGTGTGGTGAAAAATAGCATTCGTACCAATGACCAAAATGGAGTTCTCAAGCCGGCAAAACCTCATTTTCGCCCCTAGGTACGAAATACTATTTGATTTTAATGTACCCAGCTGGCCAGCTGTCCATGATTGTTGTATTTTTAATAAATGGCCTAAGAACTAGACGATCTTAAAGTAAGTAAAAATACCCCCGCCGCAGCAAACCTGCCGACTAAGCAAATTTCCATTTACCTGGCTTGATTTCTACTCAAATATTCCCTTAAAATTGTCAAATTGATTTTCTAATTATATAACATTAATTTTAATGAATACTTAGGTTTGCTGCTACAGGGAAGGTATTGAGGTATGTTTTTTATTGAAATGTTGATAACTTAGTATGAAATAAACAAAATTGCCAAATTTGAATATATATCCGATACACAAGCAAACTACAACAGTTTATTTATTTTCCATAAGAATAACATGGGAATTTTAAATTTAAAATTTTTTTAATTATCTATGTAACCGTTATGCATAAAACAACGCTTCAACATGTACCAAATTTCATCGAAATCGGATAATTTTTGCTCGAGTTATTTTGCTATCGGACACATATATGAATCTGAACAGAGGGTGTTTTGCCCCTGGGGACATCAAAACGAAAAAGTACATCGGTCCTCGGTCTAATGTCTTACCATGAGACCTACAGTAATAGCTTATTCCATATATGGGAAATTCGCTAGAAGCAGGAGGGTCATAACAGTTGCTATAGGTCACCAAAAGTCATTCCATTCATTAGTTTGACTCGGTAAAACAGTTTGTTTATTCTACAGAATTTAGTAATTTAGATGAGCGCAATCTGTTGGGGGCTCACATCAACTATGGTGATTTTTATTAAAAATTAGACGACAAATTTAACATGGGGATGGAATGTCGTAGAATTGTGTGAGATGATCTGAGTAGGCACTTTGTTACTGATCAAGACCAGCTGTTTCATAGCTATTGGTCTTAAAAGCCTATTGCTTGTTCGTACAGTTGGTTCCGATTCGAATTATCAAAATTTACTAACTTTTCTCGGAATTGAACCAATCTTCTGATTGGAAGTCAAGCTACCCATCTATATTGATCATAATCAGGTAAATGTATTTTATATTCACTGCTTGTTTGTGTTTCAGCTTCTTATGTGTGGGTCATTCCCATTTACAGCATCATCTGACTCATGACCCAGGGACGGAGATGATACAAGAGCTCTACTCTGCTATAGAGTCAGCTGACTATCAGCTAGCTCCGCCCTCAGACTACCCAGAACACCACCAGGTGATTGACGGAGAGAGTTTTGACTTCATCGTGGTGGGCGCAGGGTCAGCCGGTAGTGTCGTAGCCAGTAGACTTTCGGAGGTGAGCTGCTTCAAAGAATTAATTATGGAATCCCTTTCCTTATTCATTCCCTGTTTAGTTTACTGTTTGAGAGAAATTGGGGTGATTTAACTTTTAGTTCGTTTTAGAATGGCTAGTTCAATGGCAATAGAAAAATGATCAGAGAAAATTTCATTTTCGGAGGGCAGATCTAATCGCTGCCATGTGTTTAAAAAATAGCTTAGTGGGCAAATGTAAGCACAGAAAAGTGTTTCCTTGTAAAGGCAGTGACTCATGGTGACTCATATGGAAACTCTTGGGAAAGTGATGCGATAATCGCATCTTATGGGAGTAACCACACCTGCCAACTCTCATGGAACCACAGTTGTAAATGTCTTCTTGAATCCACTCGCCAAAATTCAAATCGAAGTTTTTGTTTTGCTGCAAAGTACCACCAAGAGTCTGCAAGGTGTGCACAGGGTGCAAAAAAACGGTGACAACAGTGCTCTTTGTGTGTTTTCAGGACGAAATATCCTAGGAAGAAGCAGGAGGGAGAGCTTTGACGCGCCCTGCTTTGCTCCTGCAAGAATTGCCGAAGTATGGTGCAACCTAATCTGGGGCTCCAATATGAATTCAATGGGTGGGGAGGGAGGGCATTGCTGTGCATTATTTTCACAAGTTTCATCTACTAGGTTTCTTTTAACTATTTTGTCATAATCAGCTCAAAATAACACAAAGTACAGGGTTCCACATAAGATTAGTGTGGTGCAATTTTATACATTAGCCATATACTAATAATTTACAGCGTATGTAAGATGTTCTTGGTTATTGGTTATGGTATTGGCCTCATGCCCAAGTTTAATTTCATTCGTAATCGTTGCCGAGTTTGTTTATCTAAATAAATAATTGTGACCTGAAATCAAAATTCTTGACCAGCAGATACAATTGGCGAGGTTGGCCATCACGATAATTACTTCCTAATTTTCTTGACATCACATTATGCGGTTCAGAAAGTAAGGAAAGTTTACGTCTGATGCTGATAGGTAAGTGCTGGTCCCGTTCACCTCAGTAACTCAATCACTGTCCAACTACAGGAGAAATGTGTTTGTGCTGCTTGTTGTCGCAGTGTTCAAGTTTAAAAAGTGTCCTACAACTGAAATTCTGCCAGTTGAGGTGCGCTCTGTAATACGGTTTGGTAGTGGTCATACATTTAAAAGCTTTATTGGGTTAAAACCCATAGAAATTTATCGTCAAGGGTGTGAAGTGTTCAGTAACAACGTAATCAGTTTAAGTTACGTTCGGAAATGGTGCATTCATTTTAGAAATCGCCAAACCATAGTTGATATCCAAAATTTTGTTATTTCATGACAATACCCGACCTAACACGTCAAATCGTACACTTGATCTTCTTCAAACATTCAAATGGGAGATTTTCCCTCAACCATCCACCCCAGAGTCCATACCAGGCTCCGACTTTCACTTGTTTTGAGCACAAAAAAGAAGACTAGGGTAGCAGCATAGCGATTTGATTATGACGAGGGCCTCCAATTTTGTGTCATTAGGTAGCTGAGCTGGCAGACAGTGGAACTCAAGATCATAGGAGTTTCAAAGCTTCTCCATTGATTTGATACAAAAATGCTTCATTTTGTTGGGCAGCTATGTGGAAAATTAGTATTTTAGTCGATCATTCAAAGGTACCTATGTAATACAATTTTTCTTGTAGGTACAAACTCTTTCCTGAACAGCCTTTGTATTTAGGCAAACAAAATCAGCAACAATTATTTGTAAAACTAATATCTTTCTAGTGACCAATACGATAATTTCCACATTACCGTGGGAGACCGGAGATATTCCTGATTTTACCACAATAGCGGGAGACTTTCGATAAGGTTTTTGTGAACGCACGAGACGATGGTGATGTTTCTGTGCCTGAGGAAGATATTCAGGATTGGTTATATTTAATAGTTAATGTAATAAATAGCCCAGAAATATAATGGAAAACGTTTTTGTACTGAACAAATTATTGATACATCTTTTTAACAACTACACCAAAAACAAAACCATAACATACAAAAGGTAAACAAGACAATTAATAATTGATCAGGTGATGATGTAAAGATAAGATGAGAAATATTACTTCTCTAACACCACCCCATAATGTTTATCAACTTGATCCAGTCCGATTAATTGTACTGACTCTTGGTGCATTGGGCCAGGAACACCTTTTGTCTTGTTTCTTAACACAACAAAGTTTTCAGGCGGTTGAATATGTAGGGCTTCTTTCCGCTGTCTGTTCAAAAAAGCAGTTGACAAATCCAAACGATGAATTTTTGTACGATCATGAACCACATTATATACTTCAAATGGTCCCATGTCCTTTGGTTTCCGTGTTCTTTGTAGATATCTTCTCACCTCTGGGATTGCTTCAGGATCATTTGTTGTGTACATCTCTTCTTCAAGACTTGATTCTCGCTTTTCTTCTTCAAGACTTGATTCTCTGTTTTCTGTGTCAGGTTCTGATATTGTGTCATCTGTTATACACATGTCCTCTTCTAGATTTGATACATCCTCAGCTATGTCATCATTAATATCATTCTCAGTTATGGTTCTACTCTCTGAATCATCATTTGATAGATCTAAAATCTTGTATGATTGGTTATCTCTCACTTCTCCCCCTTCAACTGGTTTTTCCTCTAAGAACACAACATTTCTGGATTTACAAAACCATAACCTACAAAAGGTAAACAAGACAATTAATATTTGATCAGGTGATGATGTAAAGACAAGATGAGAAATATTACTTCTCTAACAATATTGGTTATTTATTATATTACTTCTTTGCTTGACATACTTTTATAAATGTAGATAAATAGTATCTAAATATGAAATATATATTCAAAACAGATTTATAAATCAGTTTGTTAAAATTGAATATAATTTTATGATAAATTTTTCATAAATATTTCTGAACAGTAAAAGGTAATTCCAAATGGTATTACATCGATACTATTCTCAAATTTAGAACCTTGCTTAGGTATGAAATTGTACTAATCTTTTGTGGACACTCTGTCCTTACTTTATTGATTTCACCAGTTCTTAGTGAATACCATTGTTACCTATGGTTACCATAGGTAACATCGACACTGAATAACTATTATACAGGTGTGAAGTGTAATACTATTTGTCAAAACAGGTGAAGAAGTGGAAAGTGCTGCTGATAGAGGCTGGTGGAAACCCGACCAAGACATCAGAGATTCCAGGACTTCACCACTTCCTGCATGGGTCCTCAGTAGACTGGGCCTACCTGACGGACCCTGGAGAGGACAACTGCCTGGGGATGGTGGGGGGAAGCTGCCGGTGGCCTCGAGGGAAGGTGCTTGGTGGAAGTAGTACAATAAACGCCAACTTGTACGTCAGAGGCCATCCTCGGGACTACAACGCATGGCTCGAGTCTGGCAACGATGGCTGGGGCTACAAGGATGTGTTGCCTTACTTCAAGAAATCCGAGGGACTTCGGGCTCAAGAAGTCAAGGACAGTGAGAACTACAACCATTATCACGGGACAACAGGCCAGCTCACAGTGTCAACTTACAACAACTCAGAACTGAAGGAACTGATTAACGCTTTCTCCAACGGAGTGAAAGAGTTAAACTACAAAGTTCATACGGATTGTAACGGGAAGTCTCAACTAGGTTTTGTACCTCTACAAGGTACGATTGTCGATGGAAAACGGTGCAGTGCTGCAAAAGCGTTTCTGACTCCGGTAAAAAATCGGAAAAATTTGAAAGTATCTAAGTTTTCTTTGGTTTCAAAAGTTTTAATAGACAAAAATAAAGTGTATGCAGTTGAGTTTACAAACAAAGAAGGTTCTGTGGTTACAGTTAAAGCTTCAAAGGAAATTATTTTATCTGCAGGAGCAATAAATACTCCTCAGATTTTAATGCTGTCTGGAATCGGACCAAAACTTCACTTGGATGAATTAGGGATTAAAGTTGTGAGCGATTTGAAAGTCGGTGAAAATCTACAAGACCATATGCTTATGACCGGAGTTTTACTGTCGTTTAATTACAGCAAACCAGTTAAATCACATCTGGAACACATGTTTGATTTTCTAACAAAGTCGTCCGGTAAATTTAGCAATGTTGGACTTTTGAGTTCTTCGATATTTATCAATGTTGAAAAGGATGACAACCAAGACGACTACCCCGAAATACAGTTTCACATGGTGGATATTGATCCAAACATGGAGGAAGACGTTATTGGGCTTGTCCAACATACCTACAATATCAAAGAGGACATCTCAAAGTCTTACATTAACGCTAATAAAAACCGTTATTTAGTACTTGCTATGCCAACGCTTTTAAGACCGAAAAGCCGAGGAAAGGTTTTACTAAGAAACACCGATCCTAAATCAAGTCCTAAAATTATTTCTGGTTACCTTAATAATGAAGATGACATAAGAGTTTATCTCGAGTCCATTAGATTTGTAGAAAAACTTGTTAATACCAAGGCTATGAAAACCTTAGATGCTAAACTTCATAAAATAGACATCCCAGGTTGTAGGGACTTTGAGTTTCCGTCAGATGAGTATTGGACGTGCTCTCTTAGACATATGGTCTCCACGACGTTTCATCCGACATCTACCTGCAAAATGGGTCCCCCTGAGGACCCTGACAGCATTGTGGACCCTCGGCTTAGAGTCAAAGGTTTGGTGGGTTTGCGTGTAGTAGACGCTTCTGTCATGCCTCAGATCATCAGTGGAAATACTAATGCACCAACTATTATGATAGGTGAGAAAGCTGCTGACATGATCAAACAGGACTGGGCCGATGATGAACTGTAAAATTTTGTATACGAACATATAGGATATCAAACTCTTTCTTCAGATTTAAAATAACCACAAGCCAACTACAGTTTCAGAAGTCTAACTTCCATCATCAGGTCTGATTCAATTCATTTTTATCGTCATTGATTATAAAAATCTTATCACCTACGACCTTTTTTAAACCAGCCTTTTCAATTGAATTCTTTCATTTGAAAAGATTTACTTGACGGCAACACACTCACAATACACTGATTTAACGAAATTCCCAGCAAGGATTTAGCCCAGAAAACAGCTGTTTGCCGCCGGCGCCAGCTTAAATGGGGTTTCAATTCGTACTACCACAGAAAACATACTAGTAGTATGCTTTCTGTGGTACTACACTGTAATAGTAATAGCGAATAACGTACGAAACTTTACATAATACTACACAGAAAAATTAGTTCATTTTTTAGTTAATTTTCATTTTAGGCACCACAAAATAAGAAGTATCATAGCAAATGCCTTCCAAAAAAGGTATAATACATGGGAAGTGCAAGAAGAAGTACACTGTCTTTCTTCTAACGGAAGCACCAGAAGAGTAGATATTTTATTGATCGAAAGAGAAACTAACAAAGGCATAATTCTGGATCCTACAATTCGATTTGAAATAAACATAAATCAAGCTAACGAAGTAAATGAAGAAAAGAAAAAAAATTATGATTCTACCTTTGAATATTTCAAGCAAAATTTTAAAATTTTGAAAATTGAGGTGATTGGATTGTTTATTGGTTCTAGAGGAAACTTTTGGAAACAATATGATTTGGACAGATCCTTTTTGAAAATTATTATTCATGAAACATTAAGAGGTTCAATGACCATAATGAGAAATCATATGGCAAACATCAAAATTAATCAGTCTTATAGCTGTATAATCCTTCGATATTTTATGTGTACTATTTTTCTGTGTCATTGGCAACCTTATTTTTTAAGGCAGACGTATTTATTTTTATAAATAAATTCTTTTCTCTCATAACACAATTTATTTAGAACATAACATAAATTATAATATTTTATTTTTATATTTCAGAAAATTAAAATAGACCGTTGCAATTAGCTGTTTATTTCATCAGCTGACTAAGTGCACGGTAATCGTATATTAGTTACTAGTCCTGAAAATGGGTATTTGTTTACCGGACGAGTGTGGTCGTTCCCGTGCGAGACGAAGTTGAGTACGGAATTACCATACGAGTGACGTACGGTATTTTACGCCATACTACAAATCCTTATATTGATTAAAGGACTAACAATCACTAGTTATAACCATAACCTCTCTGAGAGGTTATGTTTTTTTTCATATAACCACTCATTGCCACCCAAATACAGCATAATCAGCTTATTGGTGTCCGGTAAAACTCATTACAGTACGAGTAGTACGCAATGAAACCCCATTTGTTTAAGCTGTTTGCCGCCTGTTTATCAAATGGGGTTTCATTACATACTAATGTACTCAAATGAGTTTTACCTGACACCAACCAGCTGATTATACTGTATTTGGTGATGAGTGGTTATAAACATAAACATAACCTCTCTTAGAGGTTGTTATGACTAGTGATTGTTAGTCCTTTAGTTGGGGAAAAATTACCACCAACATACAGTATCCTTAAATTATAAGGACAGATTAATTTGTCTGGTGTAAACTATCGTACGTCACTCGTCCAAAATGTGTTTACCGGACTCGTATGGTAATCCCGTGCGAAACGAACGACCACACTAGTCCGGTAAACACTTATTTTCAGGACTAGTAACGTTGATACTATTACAGTATTTTTTTGTTATTTAACAGTAAAAGTTTGGGCCAATGAGGTTCAATGATTGGGAGAAAAGAAGTAAAATTGTAATACTACGAATGCCCTGTTATCAGCTGTTAAGACCAATTTAACATTGAGATTAAACAATGAGTGAGTGGTTGGAATATTTACTTGATTCTTTGTTGTACATTAAAGAAAATCTTAATAATATTCCTGCTAACAATTCAGTACATTCATATTTTACCAGACAGAGCCATTTTATCAGAATTCACCAATGTAATTATCAGACTACCATTAAACCTACTTTTGAATTAGGTAAGAAAATCTTTAATCATACGTATGTTTTGTATGTTTTTATACGACAATAAATGAATTGATTTGGGATAAGTCGTTACATCACAATCTGTGGCAATGCGAAGTTATTAACGAAAGTCATGAGTAGTAATTTTTAGTACCTAATTAAAAAACGGCCGTAGGGAAAATTAGTGTACGCAACTCACGTAATTACCCTTTACGAAACCCGTAGAAGTTTTAAAGACACTCGCCAGTCGCCAAGGCCTGTACCTTACAATTTTTACTCGTGTCTTTAAGTGAGACCACGAATACTAGAACTTCGTGGTAAAGACTATCCTTACACGATATCGTTGCGTACTACTATAATAGAAAGAGGGAGCTGATTAGGGAAAAACAACAACAAACACATTTTGTTTAGCACTAATTAAATTAGTTTATAAGAGTTGTAAATGTTTGTAGTTACGTCTTAAATAAAACAAAATGAATTTTAGAACTTGTTTATAATTAAATCCATTTTACTTTTAAAATAGTGCCCTTCGAATTTTTTGAAATAAGAATGTAAACAAATGTGTGGTATTTAGAAATTGGACTTATCTCAATTAATTAACGGAGTACGTTTTTACTATTTGTGAGAGTGATTTTGCTCTTATCAACGATCAAAACTAAACACAATAAAACAAGCCCTTTCGTTGTTTTGCTGCGGACTTAAATGTTTTTTTTAATTCAAATGAAAGGGAGAGGGAGGGCGCAAAACTACCTCTCAAGAACATAGTGCTTCACAATAAATTATGATAACCGCGGACCATCTACAGACTCTCAGATTATGCCGGATTATTGAGGGACTACTGCATTTAAAACAACTAATTTAATTTTCCTCTTTTCGCAGTTTTTATGTTGATTCGACAATTTCAAATCCAAATGCTTACAAAGTACACAGTAACACTTTTTTGGGAGAGAATTTAGGCTCTTAAGACAATCTAAAAATGTGTGTTAAAGAGTTTTAAAAGAAGCTAAAACTTAAGTAAAAATATTTGTTCAACGAAGGGCATATTTCTCGAGTCCCCTTTCCTGTTGGAGGTAGGACTACAGTATTTCATACCCCCAAATTCCCTGAACAAAATACTTGCCCGCTTTCACAGAAAAATAGGATAGTGTTTAGATATGTGTTCACGTTTATAAATAACTCTTGTTTTACCATTACGTTTATGACAACAATATGGAACATTTTAATCGTTTAGACCAGGATCAGTTCATCAGCATCAGACGTAGACATCGATCCGGACTGCCTTAGTTTAGTGACTCATGCGCATCCCAGCAAACAGAGCAGTTGTGTCGTACGCTGGGAATTTTCCCTGATCAAGGGAAATTTTCTTAAAAATTGATCAACTTTAAATTCTCTTTCCGTAGTAAACAATGTAATGATGAATTTTCGCAAGTGATAAGAAAATAGGAGTAGTACAAGAGTATAAAGTGAGTCATTACATAATTGATACCATGTTTGAAGTGCAAGATCTATCGAGTACTTTAAATGGTCGAGAATATGTATAGACCCACTTTCACTCGTGTTTTGAACGTTACTTTTCGCTACACTACAAAGAATAATTATTTTCTTCATTACACAACTCATAGAATTTGTATGTTATGCCTTCAATTTAAAGTGAATATTGACTTTAGTTGTTGAAAATTGAAAATGTTGTGTAATGTTTCAATTTAACTTACCGGTAACCGTTTTAGGCTATGTTATGCCTAGGCTAGGTTAGGTTTTTTGTTAGATCAATTGTAATAAAAGTAGGCCTATCTCACATTTTTCATAGTTTAAATATTTCTTAATGTTCTTTAAATTACTAATGAAATAATGTTTCTAATAGTTTATTTTGTAAATAGTGGTAATAAAGAATATTTCTACCCACTTACCGTACCTAGGTTAGCTTACCCACTTACCGTATTTAGGTTAGGTTATCCATTGTAAATATTTCAGCAACACAATAACAGTTATGAATGTACATTACTATTTTATTTCACACTCAAAGGGATAAACATGTAAATTTAACAACTAACTAAATAATTAAAACATATTTATTTATTACATTTGTTTCAATGTTTGTTTACTAGTTTACAATAGCTTCTCTGACAGCTCGAGCTCCAGCCGAAAGCAGCTGATGGATCAAGAACGATCAAGTGGGCAGCGATGACGTCAGGCTACCGGAAAAGGAAGATAACTTTTGGTGGAAACATCTGGGTTTAAAGTTCTAGAATATTCCATGGTCTCCATAGCAACCAAATCGGGTATAAATACAGCAGTCCACGGGCCAGTCTTCACTTCACGAGTTGACAGTCAGCGCTGCGGGTGTAAACCATTTGCCAGGCGCAAATAAAACAATAAAATTAATAGTAATCAAATTTGTATTTGTAAAAGAAAATAAAAACAAGGAATAAGGTCAGTCCCAATTGTGTACTCATTTGAAATATTAATAAGGTAATTTGAATTAGACAAGTAAGTAGGATAGAAATTAGAATAGGCCTACACACAAAGCATTTGTCAGGCCCCGGCAGACCGCTGGTGCTGCGGCTTTAACACTCAACACTCACGCACATTCGGTAGTTGTCTGGCACCTTTTTTAAAGAGTGCTGCGACCGAAATAACACTTACAAGTAGTGGCACTAACAATTTAACTCCATACAAAGCATTTGTCAGGCCCCGGCTGACCGCTGGTGCTGCGGCTTAACACTAAACAAGCACGCATATTTGGTAGTTGTCTGGCACCTTATTTTAAGAGTGCTGCGACCAAATAACACTTACACATAGTGGCTCTGTATAACTTAACATTATATCTCACATTTCACACATTCTGCAGTTAGGATAAAATCAGTCACGTGGCAAAGAACCCATCCCTGAGAAACTTTGATAAAAATACAAAATAAATACAATTAAATGAAATTCAGATTTAAGTCATTGAGACGTTACAAATTGGCGCCCAACTAGGTGGCTTGATTTTATCACGGCTATAGATTATTTTAATGCAGAGATATAATTTACGAAAATATATAACACCTACACTTAGAGCACAAGAAGCACACTTAAATATGAGCCGGCAATTAGACGAAATCAATATGGAAGAATTATTAAGTCCTAATAATGACAATCCCGGAGATGACTTATACAGTATCGATAATCAAAATTTAGCGTCTGGTGACAATCTAAATCATAGTAATGTAACAAGTCCCAGTAGAACACAGCACACAAACATGGACCAAACAATAATTAGGCCTATATTACAGACACTTGAAGAGTTTAAAGAACATTAAGAAATATTTAAACTATGAAAAATGTGAGATAGGCCTACTTTTATTACAATTGATCTAACAAAAAACCTAACCTAGCCTAGGCATAACATAGCCTAAAACGGTTACCGGTAAGTTAAATTGAAACATTACATTTGATAAAACAATAACAAATATTAAAGTTGTTGACGGTGGAAAATTTTCTCTTGTAAACAATGTTACTTTTGGTAGTAAACAATAGACAGCTGTTGAAAATATGATGTTTCGCAGGTTGTTAACACATAACGAAAACACCTCAACTCATAGTAGTGTGGTAAAAATTATATTTCTGAATTCTGAACCCTCACATTTTTCAGGATTGGAAAACGTACTTATATTGTAAAGTTACTTGATTTCCTCCTGACGTTTTAACATTGGAATTGATTACTAAACAAAACTAATCCTTACGTATGAGATGCTAGATTTGCGCCTTTGTAAAATAAAATCTAATTTTCAATTCCTTTAACCTTTTATTAATGTTATGCATGTTAGCTATACATGACTGTTATTTTTAAAGGTTCTATGGCTCTTGCGCTGCAATTCTGAATCAATATTAATTAATCAATTACCGATAACTAATTACTACGCCTAATTTAGTATGCTAATAAATACATTTCGAGAAGAACTTTTAGATGAAAGGTAAGTTTTATAAGGTTTTAGTACATACATTATGTAATTTTGTAATTACATGCATCTATGCCTATATAGAATATGATTTATTAGTAAATATTTTTCAAATAGTGTTAGTCAATATCAATACTATTTAATAAAAACCCATTTGGACATAAAACAACCAAAATGGTGGGTTAAATTCCTTTAAATATCTACTAAAACATTATATATGTTTATAGCTAGTTGTGACCGTACCAAAATACAAAGTAAATAGAGTAAATATAAGTAAAGTGCAATTAATTACAAAGCCGTATTAAAACTTATCACACTTACACACACACCAAACAAATCGATAAAATATCACAAATATCTGAATTATTATTAATTTACATCTACCTTGTTAAACTACGATATTAGTTCATAAAACAAAATTTAAAGTACTAAAATGTCAAAAGGATTTTACCCAAATGCAATTTTGGGCCGTTTTGCACAACGGGGAAATTTCACATATTTGGGAATTTTCGTGTTGCCTCATGAAAGGCTGGCAGCCTGGATCTCCCGCCAAGTTACAGCTGTCTCGGGCTGTCTGCTAGCCCAGCAGTTTGTATTTCAGCAGTGTCAGGTGTGGTCAGGGTAGTGCAGCAGTCCACGTAAGTTTTTCATCATCATAACGCATGTTTAGAATTTAATATTCATAAAGGAAATATTTTATATTAGCTTTTGCAAACTATAGAACATTGCGTAAAGTACGATTAAAACAAAACTGTGAATCTAAACCTCTTTTTCAAAATCAGGGCAGGCACATTGCAGCTTCCTAAATTACTTCATAGTGAAAACTATTTCCTCACTGATTTCAACTAGGAACTTCTAGGGTGACTGCAAGACATAAAGCATATCAATGATTAAATATGATCAAATTGTACATAATTAACACCCTAATAAAACGTGTCGTTGTTTGTGTTGTATTTAAGCCGCATTATAATGTGTTTACCTCCCCTACTCGGGCATCGATTTTTGGTTTGAAGTTTTTAAAATAATACTACACTAGGCCTATTCCTTCGGTAGGTTAATGTTGTTAAATAATATTTATACTTTCCAACAAGTGCACAAATCCCTTGTTTATTTTGAGTTGTAGCTCTTTCGGGGGGTTTTCGTACATTCTCCACATTTTTGTGACGATTATATACCAAATGTAATTACTCTGTAGTTCTAGAAATTTCTCCTGATTTCTTCAACTATTTACCTTATTTTTGAGTTTTAAAAACCTACTTATCCAATGGTATATCGTGTATGAGAAATTCGTTACTGTCTAAAGTCTAAAGATTGTTATGTTAGTATTCTTCGTGTTATTTTTTTATTTAAAAATGTGTGAGTTGGAAACAACCACAGTTTATCTTAGTTCTTTAGTTATTTCCTTTGGCATCGCTATAGCGACTACTAGGGGGTCCTCAGCGTCAAGTCTTCATAG